CAGTGGGGGAGACAGGCCCACTGGGAGAACACAGGGACACAGCAAGGACAGCTGATCCACCCCTCGATCAGTGCAGGATCACTCAGAGGAGACTGGTCAGGAATGCAGAACTGCATGGGGTGCAGTTTGATGAAAAGACTCAGGCCCAGACCAGTGTTTCTACACAACCGAGGTGCACCAGGTCTCTGGAGAATGGGAAGTATCTATAATATCTATAAAGAGAACCATTAAAACCTGAGCTGCACAAAAAGCCTTCCCTAGGGAAACAGCAGCAAAGCAGCAATTTAGCTCAACCACACAGCTCAAGTACTGGTTCCCACAGGAAGTTCCTCCATTTTAGAAGTAAGCAAAGGACAAAATATTCGTCCCGGCCCTGCCTGGGGTACTGAGGCATGGAGTAGGGGACCGGACCCCCTTCCCATAACAAGGCACACCGCCAGCACGAAGGAGCATGTCAAAAACATCACCTCCATGGAGGTGGCACACCACAGCCACCGTGAAAACGACTAGATGCCACAACCACCATGCAGATGGTCTGCCAGCCACTGGAGTGCATTGACACAAGGAGAGTCACCAGAAGAGACCAAAGAAAAGAAGAGGATGTCTCTCTCCACAAAGCCCATTTCAGAGTGATAGACAACTCCAATCATATTGAGCCATGGCCACTTTAAGGCTGGAGCTGCTGAGCACATGGAGCAGGAGCTGGCAAAAGACACAGCTGTGCCCTTATTTGCCACAGCTGTGCTGTTCGGATGAAGTTGCTTGGAGGCAGCAGGGGAGAAGAGGGCCTTGGCCCAGGCCAGCAAGACCACTAATAGGGTTCCTGTGGACCCACAACAACTGAAAAAAAGGAGCCACTCAGAGGCCAGTGAGTCATCACAAGGGACCAGTGCACAGCCTATCCCACAGGAAGTGTTTGGAGCAGGAGCAGTGGGGAAGACGGGCCCACTGGGGGAACACTGGGGCACAGCAAGGACAGCTGATCTGCACCCCAGTCAGTACAGGACCACTCAGAGGAGACTGGTCAGGAATACAGAACTGCATGGGGTGCAGCTTGATGAAAAGACTCAGGCCCAGACCAGTGTTTCTACACAACCAAGGTGCACCAGGTCTCTGGAGAATGGGAAGTATCTATAATATTTATAAAGAGAACCATTAAAACCTGAGCTGCACAAAAAGCCTTCCCTAGGGAAACAGCAGCAAAGCAGCAATTTAGCTCAACCACACAGCTCAAGTACTGGTTCCCACAGGAAGTTCCTCCATTTTAGAAGTAAGCAAAGGACAAAATATTCGTCCCGGCCCTGCCCGGGGTACTGAGGCATGGAGTAGGGGACCGGACCCCCTTCCCATAACAAGGCACACCGCCAGCACGAAGGAGCATGCCAAAAACATCACCTCCATGGAGGTGGCACACCACAGCCACCGTGAAAACGACTAGATGCCACAACCACCGTGCAGATGGTCTGCCAGCCACTGGAGTGCATTGACACAAGGAGAGTCACCAGAAGAGACCAAAGAAAAGAAGAGGATGTTTCTCTCCACAAAGCCCATTTCAGAGTGATAGAAGAAGTATCTGCTCTATGATAATATTGGAGGACCTGAACACACCTCTCAGCATTGGACAAAACATCTAGGCAACAAATCCACAGAGTAACTATCACTCTTTCAGAAGGAGAGAAGAAATCTAGGGTAATTAGAGGGGGAGGGGGAGAGATTGGAAAAGGGGCATAAAGAATAAGGACAATTTGTAACAATATATATGTGCTAGTAATATTGATTTGATCAACATATGTTGACATGTATAATCAATTATATGAATATGTATAATCAATTATGATTCAATAAAAATTTTAAAATAAATTAAATAAATCTCTAAACACTATATTCAAACACAGTTTTTATACGTAAATATAAAAATTCCATATATCAAAGTATCAGAAACAAAAGTAAAATTCTTCCACAAACCTAAAAATACTTTGTCACAATTTTTAGACATGGCTTAATATTTTAACATACAAAGAACAGGCAGGAATCTATAAGAAAGACATTAATAATTAAATAAAAATGGGCAAAAATTGCAGACAATTTACAAAAGAAGAATTAAAGTGACAGAAAAACTAAATTAACAATAAAAGTGTAATTTTGAGGAGGGCTATAAAAGTGGAGAAATTTAAAGAAAGAAAAATTTTGAATACTTAATACTGACGAGGATGGGGGTATATAACGGGCACTCTGTATAGCAGTGCTGATTGGGATATAAATCAGTAAAACCTTACCTGGGGTGGAAGAGACAATAAAATTTGTTCTTGCATAATCTGAGAGTGACAGCATTTTTTAAGGCTATACAATAACGGGCACTCTGTATAGCAGTGCTGATTGGGATATAAATCAGTAAAACCTTACCTGGGGAGGAAGAGACAAGAAAATTTGTTCTTGCATAATCTGAGAGTGACAGCATTTTTTTAAGGCTATACCTAAATATCTCTAAACTATAAATACAAGAGGATATTAGCATGTAATTTATATCAAATTTCTGCTTAAGATATAAATGTCTTTTTTTCCTCCAGCAAATTAACTTTTGTTACCACAAGCACTACTCTGTTAAACATAACAATCTCATCAGGACTTCTTCATTCTTATTCATTTATCATCCAGTTATGGTTAACAAAGCACAAAGGCATTCAAACAAAGCAGCCCTGTGTCTGGAAAGGCAGCTTTTTCCTTTGGCAGAGCAAGTGCCTGACACTGGTTACCCCATACCCTACAGTGACTGGCTAAATGCAAGTGGGATCCCTAAGCATGCATGCAGTCCTACTCTAGGAAAGATGCCTGTGGGTCTTAGGAAGGTTCTTATACCCTGACCCAGTGATTTCCCTTCTGGAATCAATCCTTAAAAGCCAGAATTAGAACAAAGATTAATCACTCAAGCTTACTGTAGCTTTATTTTTTTTATCTTAGAAAAATCAGAAACAATAATGCCTAAATTAAGAAAACTGTTAAGTAAATTAGAATACCTAATTATGGAATATATGAGCATACTTCACTATTATCTTTCAATTTGATTGTTCCACAAACTTTTTGAAGTACCCTCAGATAGGTAAGCTTGCTTTGGCTCACTAATGGCTCTGAATTGGTCTTTGACTTCTCAGACTATGTCCTTGGATTCTCTGGCCTCTAAAAGTTCACTGAGCTTTTACATTTGTGATTAGAAGTGTGAACTTCACCCTCCTTGATCCTGGGGGCAGCATGTACAAGAAGTCTATCCATTGTCCCTTGTCTTTTCAAGGCACCTGGAGTATAAACATAGTTCTGGGGATAACCATGAAAGCATAAATAAATCTAGAATGGTCCTGTGTCTCATACATCAGGAGGACCTTGCCAAGCCTCAAAACCTGAGGTGGCAATCCATGCACAAAAAAAATCTATGGCTCCCTTCCACAAGGGATGCAGGTCTGTGAACAATATGATGCATTTAGGGAAATGCTCTTCTACCTTAATTGGACTCTAGATTTTATCATTTCTGAAAACTAATATTTCAGTTGGGCATACCTTATCCAGTAATTATCTGTACTTTCCACCAGTGCATGACAATCTCCAAGGGATTAAAGACAGTTAAATCTTACTTTCCAACTTTTGGTAAGTTTTAAAATCTCACAGTCCAATCCTGCAGAAGGCCCCCAGAATTACTTATCTTGGTAACTTTAGGAGACATTCTGCTAGAGATGAGGTATTTTAGGGACTGCCTGATGGGAGCACAGGATATGCCAAGGAGTTTCCTCAAAACATGGGAGTAAAGATTCACCTGCGCTGGTGTGAAGGGGACACTCCTCTCAGAGCAGAGAGATCTAAAGCAAGGGGGGTAAAGCTAGTAACTGGAGGGTGTCCACCAGGGACACCTCTGGAAAAGTTAAGTGTCTTCTGTGCTTTTTTATCAGAGCAAGATGGGAACAGTCATGTGAAACATACCATTTTTATTCCAACACCACACATCCCTTTGCAATGTCTAGTTAACACCCTTCGGTAAAGGGTAAATGGAATTGTGAGGGATAATGGCAGAAGTGGCCTCTCCATCAACACCCTTTGGCAGAGTCTGTGTGGAAGGAAGGGTGACCCAGAGGCAGGTAAGAGACATGCTTTCTTTCCTAAATATACCTACAGGATGCTGGCCCTTGAATGGCATACAGCTGCTGCTTGGGTTAGATGTGCAGTATCTTGTGTAATCCTCATAAGAACTTTTTAATAAAATACTTGTTTTTCACCTCTGCTTTACAAATGAGGAAATGGAGGAATAGAGACATTAGATGACTTGCCTTAGCACTCACTGCTAGGAAACAGTTGAACAGAGATTCCAGGTCTGGGATTCTAGAATCTGTGTTCTTAATGGCTGCACCAGAGCCTCTCAATCCAGTGTGCAAAGCTGCTGGTGATTTATAGGTGAGCAGAATATTGGGGTGCTCAGGGCCCAAGGGCCACCTCCAGCTGTGTGGAGCCTCTTGCATTTACCTCAGTGTACCTATAAGCACGAGCATATCTACATGTGTCAAACAGACACATTGAGAAGCTCTGCACTAAGGACTCCTGCCTTCTATCTCTGGAGGCTCTGGGACAACCGAAGCCCCTTCTCCCCACTCTGTCCTGGTCAAGATCCCTTACAGCTCTTTGTAGATGGATTGGAGGGAGCCTTACCTTTTCTGTCCCTTGGAGTCTCTTGTCCTAGAAAGTCTTGGCCCGGCGGTAGCCCGGAGCCCACCTCGTCGAAACTCTGCCATGCCTGGTGTGTCAGTGTTGAAATTTCCTGACTGAGTTCTTCGGATTCTGCATGGAGAGGAATCCAGAAAGAGACTGTCAGGGCACACCCCCTCCTTTGCAGGGCCATGCAGGCCAGACCTGGGACTCTGGGTGGCACTGCTCCCCAAGGCCTCCCCAGAGATCAAGGATCACAACCTGTGACAGTTTGTTAGCCAGTCTCAAGCCCCAATTCTAATCCTGCCTCCGGGACTTAGGCCACTCCCCATGGGGGTCAAGGTGAAGGCTGATGCCTATAGGAGGCCCCAGTTTCTGCCTCATTTCACAGACTGAATCTGCTGGACCAGCAAGTACTCAGTTTTCTGTCTTCAAAGACTTAAGACACAGATTGACCCCTACGAAGGAAGAATCCAGTCTCATCTGTGTCTGTCCCAAAGCCCACGTTATGTAAACTGCAGAGAATGTGCTCAGGGTGTGTGGGACAGACAGATGCCTAGAATGAATGACATGGAAGGCAACTAGCTGTATTTAATGGGTGCCTTTCATACTTCTTCTCTGGGCCCTGAAAAATAACTCAAATACTTCTCTTTAAATAGAATCACTCTGTTTTTACTGCTGTTCCAATGTCTAATAGACCAGGGGTTTACAAGAACTCTTCTCAGTCCAGAAGAAAATCAATTCCAAGCATTATAATTACACGATCAAAACCACCAACTTACTTGCCCCAGAATTTCTTGATGCCTTTGGGGCTCCGTTTACCATCTGGCGTCAGAGGAGACTGAGGACTGGACTCAGTGCCCGAAGACGTGGATGAGAGGTCATTGACCATGGCAGTGTCGTCCCAGCCACTTTCTGTGTCTCCTGAGGTTGAAAGAATGAAAAGATGTGTGAATGAGAGTAAGAAACATGACCTTTGGAACTCTTCTCCCCCAAGCTTGGGCCATCCCATGTGGGAGTCTGGAGAATCTGCCCAGCTCTGCATTCAGGGCAGATCTCCACACTGAGACCCCAGAGACCAGCAGGAGCTCAGGCACCCTCCAGCCTTCCTCTCTGAGGAATTAGTGAGCTCAATGTTTCAAATCTGGGTGAGTGAATGTCTTCAAATTCTAAGGGCTTGGGGCCCAAGTACGTGGATTATTCCAACAAGGAGCTTGTTCTCTCAGAGGCAGAAGCAGGAAGGTGGGCAGGAGGGAACCTACCAAAGCTCAGAGTTTGGTAGGGGGAGGTATCAGGGTGGGGAAACAAAGGCATTCTCACTCTCCACCTCACCTGGAACAGGTACAGTACCTAATACGGGGGCACTGACACTCCGGCCACGATCTCCAGCCAACCAAGAAGCAGAGAAGCCACATGAAGAAACAAGAGAGGCCAAAGTCCAGCCCAACAGGGTTATGGGAAAGCAAAGAAATAAACAAAAGAGTGTCATCAAGCAAGAGAGAAAAACTCAAACAGAAAGAAAAATAATCCCAGGAAGAGACTTGGGGTAAGTGGTGACTGAGCTCAGCCCACAGGCTAAGGGCATTGAGACACAGCCTCACGTGAGGAGACCAAATGCTCCCAGTGCCTCTTCCAGGCAGGCTGAGGTGTCCACACATGGGCAGGAGAGGGAGAGCAGCAGAGGCTGGGTACGCCACCCACTTGCAGCTCAGACTAGAATAACCCCAAGCTGCTGTGAGTCCAGTCTGAGTGTCACCGGACACACTCACGCATAGGGCTTATCTGGAACTCCTGCAGCCAAGGGCAGGAGTGATCCTCAGATAGCCCACACATGGGTTGGCCCAGTGAATAGCAGGAGCTGAGGAGTCAGGGGGAGGGAGAACTCTGCCAAGACCAGAATGTTCCTTCCTGGGCCCCAGTGAATCTGCTGCTGCTGTTGGGTAAAGATGGCCTATTTTGGCTGAAAAGCAGCAAATACCTCTGTGGTCTCAGGTCCTAACCACCAAAAGGATACCTGTGGACTGATATCCTTGCCCACTGGCTACTGACTCCATTTGCCTAAGGAAATGCTCTCACTTGGAGAAGCACATACTATCATCCTGTGGGGAAGAGGAAGGCTGCAGGGGGAAGGCAGAGACAGGAGAGAGAAGATCAGAATGACAGAGGACGGAAGATGAGGGACAGGAAAGGGGGAAGGGGTGTCTAAGAGGTAAGGAATGAGGAATGCTGGAAAGGACAGGAAGCGGCTCCAGAGAGGGGACATGGAAGAAGAGGGAAAATGGGGTAGGAGTAACAGCGGGAAAGAAGTATGTCACATACACACTTTGGTTTTCTTGGGCTCTTAGGTGTTTACCTTAGGAAACATCTTGCCCAGACAGGGAGCCTCTGGAAGTGGGACCACCCTGAGGTACAAATTGTTCCAGTACGCACCCCCACCATTCTCCAATCACAGGCTATGGTGCAGGTGCAGGCATCTCGTACAATAATTGTAGGGCCAAGGACGCTGCTCCAGAGGCCACCAGCCCAGGGGCTGGACACTCACTCAGCATCAGCAGGCTGCTCCCTGTGGGGTCAGGCTGGGAGGCGGTGGGAGTTGATCTGGCCGCCTCTCCATTGGGCGTGGCTCCTGAAAGCTTCCCAGGTAACAGAGTCAAGCCCAAACCCAGGACTGATCGCACTACCTCTAAGCAGGCAGTGGACGTGTGCAAAGGGGACCTTCGCTACCTGGCCTAGTGCTCAGGGGCTTAATGAAGTAACCGCCATGAATGACCCTTTGAGCTGTTTGAATATATAAACTGGAATTCTAATAAAAGCTACCTAGTGCTCTTTCTCATACATACACATACACACATACACATACACACACGTGTGCACACACACACATGCTTGGGGGAGATAACAGAAAATGGGCCAGAGGGCAACAGGCCAGCTCCTTAGGAATGTAGGGTCCAAGTGTACAAGAGGTGCAGCTTGTGTTTGAATCCCGGCCATGGAAAGGATCCTAAAGAAACAAGCAGATTAAAAGAAGAAGAACAGCATTAATTTGGTCAAGAATCATATAACGGTCCTTAAATCTTCAAATCTGAGGGAAACAAAGTGGAATGCATTGTGAGAGTGAGAATAAAAGAATAGAAAAATTGAAGCAACATCACTGAGGGAATCAAGTGGATTATTTGATTGGACCTAGAAGAAAAATAACATGAAAGACAAAACAGATTTCAAGACTAGTTAAGTCAGAACAGCAATGGCAGACCCTGTGATGCAGACACCTTCTGAAAAGCCAAGTGTCCAATGCATTTCTGAATTCAGTTTGCTTATGAACATATGTCCTAGATACTGTTTGAAATTTAATTCATTCATTGTACATTGAATACAACACCCTATAAATAAGCTCAGAAAGGAGAGATATGGGAAAAGGGGACTAAATTCTTAATAATTCTAAAAGAACTGGTTGGTGAAATAGAAGTCATTAGAATCTTGAGAGAAAAGGACCATGAGATTTTCAAGTTGGTGATGACCCATGAGGTAGAGGTTGGACATGATCGGACATGATCAAGACCAACAGTTTCCAATGCTCATTCATGCACCGACTGCTTGCTTCATAATCACCTGGAGCACTGGTATGAATTCCCAGGTTCCTCCCTGTTCCCATGAATCAGCCCTATGGAAGTGCACCCCAGGAGTCTGTATTTTTAACGAGCATCTCAGATTATTCTGACACACAGCCAGACCTGGGAAATATGAGAGGGGAAGGGCTCTTAAAAACAGGTTTCTGGTGTGTCATGACACATGTCTCCCAAGACAGGGCAGAACAGCCAAGGACATGATGTAGGCCACTTGGGGAGTGCTCTGAGGAGCTGAGATGCAAGGAAAACATGCATCTAACCCAAGTACAGGGTTCAAAAGGCAGCTCAGACCTGTAGGAAAGATAGCAAAAGAACCAAGGGCAGTGCAAAGGGCTCTCTGGACTCTGTTCAGGCCGAGAAGGAATGACTCACTGCTGCAGAAGGTAGTACAATCTTAAGACATGACAGGAGGAAACAGGATTGCTCACCTCCAATTCTGTTCTTCCATTTGCAAGAAGAATAACCCTGACGATGGGGGAATAGAAACCCCAGCCAAGGGAGCAGTGTAGAATTGATTACCCAGCTGCTTTACATTAGAACAGAGAGGCAGCACGCCAGAGTGGAAAGAGCCCAGGCTTTGAATCAGACTGACTCAGGCAAAGCTTTCTCTTTAACCTCACAGAACCTCTGTTTTATCATTTCTAAGTAGGGAATAACAATCACTGCCTCAGGTTTGATGTGAAATAATACATGCACAGGGTCTAGCACACAGTAGACAGTAGATAAACAGAAGCACAGAAAATATCACATGCCCAGGCCCTAGAGGGACAGCAATACAGGAGAACAGTCCCCAGATCAATACACTGAGAATATCATGCTCAGATCTGTCCAGGGCACACTGAGAAACTAGTGCTGATCCCAGGAAGACTGAGGAACTCTCAATGCTTGTGGTCCATGCAAATGAGAAGGGGATGTCAGAGAACAGAGCACTCAGAGAGTGCTTGAGGAATTAAATTCTAGAGCTGTCAGGAGTAGGGGCCATTGACTTATTCCATGAGCTCCCCACGGAGAGCCAGAGTCAGTGGATGCACATTCTAGGGAAGCTCAGAAGACATGTCTAACAGACAGACCTGGAAAAGAATACAAGGGAGTCTTACAATGTAATGAGCTCAGTCACAGAAAGCAAGGGCCAGACACCAAGGTTAGGGGATGCTGCAGAAAGATTCTCACACCTGTGGAATGGTCCTGGGTAGGATAATGGGGTGTGTGGAGGGGGAGGAAGGGGTGGCCATGTTGAACTAACTGAGGTTGCACAGGATTCTGATTACGGTCAAAGTGGTATAAGAATTAATCTTTTAACCCAGAATATTTTTTCTTCTTAAATAGTCCCAGATCACCCTATTTCTTGGTAATCAAGTCAGTGTCTCAAAGATTGAGCCTAGCAGGTGGTCACTTACAGATACGCTTTAGAAACATCTGTGAATGACCTCTGTGAGGCCAAAGAGCGGGGGGGTGACTGCAGAGTGAAAGATGTAACAGAGCAGTATCCATAGGAAGAAATTCAATTTACCAAGGGACACATGAACCCCAGGCTCAGGGGACTGTGTGTCTAGGGCACCTGGACAGGGGAGCAGGCAGAAGACTTTTACTATATAGTTCAGATGGCCCAAGGAATTGCTGCCCAATTGAAGCCCCGACTGCTACATATATGGAACTGCAGAGAAGCCCCTTACATAGATGCGAAGGTGCAAAAAAGGATCTTCCTCTTACACAGAGTTGGAAGGGCAGAGATGGTCCATTCTAACATACTGATGTGAAAAAATTAAACGATCGTCCTACACAGAAGTCAGCAAGCAGTGAGGCCCCATATGTCATCTGAACGTGGAGGCAGAAGACAGAGAAGGAACATGCCATTGGCCTCACAGTGCATTTCCCATGTAATGTTATAAGTGGTGGCTGGGTGTGGCTAAGATCATGCTAATTATATGAAACTTCAGTTTATCATGGGCTCAACATTTGTACGCTGACCTAGAACCTTAATCCTCTTCCACAGCAGGCTTCCTAGGAGGAAATCGGTTCTAATGCAATTTTTATAACATGGCTTGTTCATCAAAGGGGGACTAAGTGTAGTCCCATGTTTTTAACCATGACATTATCAGCACAAAAAGGATGAGAGCTGTCATACTCTTCTAACTGCACCGAGATCATAACATCCCTTCCCAGTGATTAAATCTGGATTGCTTTTTTAGAGATTAATTTCTCTCAGACTATAAAATGGAGGTGATAATAATAAATCCTATCCCATAGATAATGGCAGTGAAAGCATATTATACATCTGGTGCACATAAAAACAAAATGGGTGGGTGGAGTTTTGTCTTTCCCCTGGCCTTCTTACCCCTTATGGCTAACTATTTTAAGGCTACAAAAGCGATAACTCGGTAAACAAAAACAGTGCAACCACATATAGGTGACAGGGACATGAAGCTAGCGTACCTTGGGTTCTACCACTGGGGAGAGCTGGTTCCCATCGACACACTGTGGAGCGACCAGAGGAATTTCAATCATGTGGAGAAAAAGAGAGCCATGTGAGTCACAAACAGCAACCACTCAGGACCACCTGAATGCTTAAATCTGAAAGACTGGCTGCCCGGTTAGCTCGGCTGGCTAGCACGTGGTGCTGATAACTCCAAGGTCCAGGGTTCAATCCTTGTACCGGCCAGCAAAAAAATCAAAAGAAAAAAGAAAAACAATCTGGAAGGTTCATCCACTCCCTCCCCATCCTCATGTCAGGTAATCCCCATCCATGGCAGGAAACTCAGGTCCCTGTCCAACTCCATGGACAGATATCCTGGGCAGTTGCCAGCAATATGAAAAGGGGAAGAAATACCACCGAATAAGCCCATGGCTCCTGCCTACTCCAGCCTTTATGATTCTCTATTGTATCATCAGGGAGGCTGGCATATTGCTGGAGACCAAGGGATGGTGTGCAGCATGGGCTCACTGAAGGCTGTCAGGGCAGAATCCCTTGGTCTGTAACAGCTAAGCTCAAGAGCCTGCGAACCCCTCCTCTCCAGCACTGGGTCCACCCACATGTACAAGGGCTACTCTCATATAAGATGCCGCAAAATCCTCCTTGTATCTTTCTAGACTCTTACAACAGCTCCCTCTCCAATCTTCTAAATTATCCAATACCTTACTCCTGCGATCATCTCCTTTATCCACATTACTTCTTCATTCAAAATCTCTGCAATGCCACCAAGTGCCCTGGGGGGACAGAGCCAGTATTCAAGATCTTCTCTGGCTTGATCTGACTCTGGGCTCTGACCTTATTTCCTTCTGTCCCCTACCATCTCCCAAACCCTGTCTGTGCCCACTGGACTCTAACCAAGACTTTGTCCACTTCAATATATTCTCTCATCAACTCCAGGCAGTATTTCCTACTTGCCCTGCATTTAGGATGCCTTGGGCCATACCTCGCTGGTTTTCTCAAAATGTTCATGTAATTTCTGCCTCCCCAGCAACTTTAGGAAAGCCTCTGTAAGGTAGGGACCAGGACCTCGCCTGTATATCCCTCCACTGTGCTGGGCCCAAAGTACCCAGTAATTTTTCTGGATAGCTTGATGAGCTGACCTTATCCACAGATTCACTTCTCAAGTCTTCTAGACTACAGCAGAGTTTTTTCTGAGCCCTGGACAAACAGAAAAGAAAGTAAAGATATAGTTACAAGAGAAGGAAGTACATGGTATCATTCAGGCAGAGGACAATTCAAACGCTTATCCAGTTGTCTGTCTTGGGCTTAGGGACAAGGTCAGGGAAAAAATCACCCTCTCATAATAGCCATTACATGTAAGATGAGATTGGCCCATCTTGGGGGATAGCCTAGTCTGACAATGTGTGGGTGAGGGCATCACTTAAACCCCAATAAAAAGTCCTTGACATTGCTCAAAAAGCTAGAATATACTCAATTCTGTTGCACTGATGGGAAGTGACTACTGTGTGATCATAAAGAAGGCCAATGTCTACAGAGTCAAAGGAGAGGAAAAGCAATGGTATTGGCCTGTCTGCGAGTCTAAGAGTAACTCAGGGAAGAGTGAATCGGAGCCTCTTTAGAATGGGGATGAGCACTTCAGCCAGTCACAGCTCCAAAGTATCACCTGCTAGGATCCTCCAACCCTCTGCACTGCATTCCTTGAGCACTCTGCTCAGAGGAATTTTGCTTTCTTGGGGGCTATTTTGCAGAGAAGGGAACCAAATGGGTAGAGAAGAGGCAATACCACTTGTTCACAGGGTAACC